CCCGGGGCCGACGGCTGGGGGCTGGCGAGCGGCGGCGGGGGCGCCCGCGACGCCTGGCTCCGGACCCCGCTGGCCCCCGGCGAGATGATCACGGCGCAGAGCGCGCTGCTGGAGAGGGAAGCGCAGGAGTCCAGCACCACCGACGAGGAGCTCGCAGGCCGGAGAGCGGCCAACGGGAGCAGCGAGAGGGGCGGCGCCGCCAGCACCCCCGACTACGGGGAGAAGAAGCTGCCACAGGCGCTCATCATCGGGGTCAAGAAAGGAGGGACCCGCGCGCTGCTGGAGGCGATCCGAGTACACCCGGACGTGCGGGCGGTGGGCGTAGAGCCGCACTTCTTCGATAGGAACTACGAGAAGGGGCTGGAGTGGTACAGGTAGGACCCTGGGCGCGGCGGGAGGGGGTGGACGCGCGGCGAGACCCGCAGGGCGAGCCGCCGCTTTTCCGGGCCCTCGGACACCCGGGCGCCGCGGTCCCGGGAGCCCTTGGCCCCAGCGAGGGCTCTGTCAAGCCCCAGCGGGGGCTGCTCTGGGGGAGCGGCGGCGAGGGGCTGGACGCCGGTCAAGGAGAACTCTATTTCAGGGCGAGGGGTGGAGGTGTCGCCTTGCCCTGCCCGCCTCGAGGCTCCTCGTCCGGGGAGGTGCCTTCCGAATCTGCCCAGCTCCGAGCCTGGGAATCCCCAGCCTTCGTGCCCGCGGGGTGTTTCCCAGCCCTGGCTCTGGCGGGGCTCTGCGCTTCCGTGTGTGGGGACGCCGGCGGGGGGGATGAAGCAGGGTAGCGAGGTGGATCTAGGGGCTTTGAGATCCCCTGGAATGTCTCAGAATAGCCCTGAAACGCATTTGCGTGGCTGGAATCCAACTTTAGTCTTTTCAGGTTAGAGCCAAATGACCCGGGAACGGTTAAACAAGGTGATGCTGGCCAGTTCTGGCTTTCTAGTAAAGACGGAGGGTGCCCCCATCTCCAGAACTTTCTATCCACCCGCTGGGTAGGTTTTGCATTGGGAGCACCAGTTGGTGCCCTGTGAGTTTTTACGCCCGGTGCCCGTGCCCTTTCTGTAACCCGCGCCTCCTTCGCTACAGATGGGAGCTTCTGTCTTGTGAAATGTTCACCTCTCGCCTTTTCCACCCTCTGCCAGTGGGGAGAAAAAGGGAGAAGAGTGGAGTAGAAAGTTAGGTGCAGATAACATAAATGAATCATGCAGCTTTCTTGCCAGCCACAACATTGAACACGACACTGGTGTAGATGCTAAAATGCAAACCTCCTTTGCTTTTTGGGGGTGTGTGTTTTTTCTTTGCTTCTTTCCTCTGGTTTTCTATCTCTCTGGAAAACAGTTCTGGATGGCTGGCCCCATCTCGGCTGCATCTCAGTAATTAATTGCAATTGTCAAACAGAAACACAGGCTTTGTCAGCTAAAGTGATGTTATCATCTTAACCGAGCCAATAGGTAAAATACAAGGGTTGTTTCCTGATAAGTCTCCTTCCTGTTGAAGAGCTGTGCTTTCCAAGTTTAAATTACAGCCTGGGAAAGTTTCAGAAATAGCTTAACTTAAAAAAAAAAGATAATAAATGGGTGTATTGTGATTGATTTCTTCCACTTTAAAAAACATGCCTTATGCTTTCAAAGCTTGAGAGAAGTACACTTAGGCATAAACATTCCAGCACATTAAACCGAAACAGCAAATGTGTCTGTTAATGTCTTGTCTGTTTCAACAGTGAGAACTAATTGCAATATTTTAGGAGGCTTCAAACAGCCCCTTCCTATCAAAACATAAAACAGCAAATGCCTAATTTAACTGGAAAATCAGTATTTATAACATCACAAGCCATGGCTTCCAGTTTGCGATTATAATCAAAAAGGTGTTAGAATGATTAGCGCCACAACAGCAAAGTAGAGAGGGGGTATGATGTCTGGGAGGGCTGCGTTTGGTTGGTTTCGTTGGCTTGGTTGGTTTGGCTGGGGGGCATTCTGGTCTCTGCCGTGGGGTAGCTTCGGCCCTACGAGGGAAACGGTGGCTTTTTCCAATTCTAATTTTAAAGCTGTGTATCTCAGGAGAAGTGTCCAGTGCCGTTTCGGGGGAGAGAGAGGCATAAAGATCACATCTTTCCGACATGTGTTAGGGTTGCTTTGCAGCAGCTGGAAATAGAAAAGGGAGTGTTTCATTCAGACTACTTAAAGTTGGATGAAGGATTGCAGGGTGGAATGTGGGTCAGGAGGTCCCATCCACGGGGCTGGGGGATTTTCTGAACGAGGAGCTAGGAGATGCCAGGTTTTCTTAATGTTCTTGCAGACCGCGGCTGAGAGGAGAAGGCGTGGAGACTGCTGTGATACGGCTGTGGAAGGTACTATCCCAGCACTGTGGTCCTCCCAGCCATCCCTGGTGTGGTGTTCCGGGCTGAGTGTGAATGTTTGGTACCCATCTGCAGAACTGTTCTACTGAAGACACGGGCAGATTCCCTTGATCCTCACTTGGGAGGACCGTACGATTTCTCTGGGTGCCCCATCCTCTACCCCAGTGTCTCCGCCGTGGCAGATCCTTACAGTGCTTAGTGGTGCTGACTGCAAATGCCCGAGAAGCATCTCTGTAAGGCAGAGGGTATCGTTAGCCACCCCAACCTGGCTGCTAAGTCTTCTAGAAACCCCTTCGGGCCCCTGGGAGTGTGCCGGGGCTGCTTGGATACCTCTCCAGCCTTATCAGGGACAGCAGTGCTTGGAGGCTTGTTTAAGTGGGATTTTCAGAGGCGCTCTGTCTTCAGGCTCTTCTCTCTCTCTCCCTTGGAGGAAGAGGGATGACATCCTCATTATAATGTAGAAGAGGAAACAGTGGCATCAGGTCAGACCAGTAAGAGAAACCCTTCCTCTTGTGTCTCTGGTCCAACCGCACCTTTTTTTTTTTTTTTTTTTTTACGTTTATTTATTTATTTTGAGAAAGACCGAGGCAGCGCGAGTGGGGGAGGGACGGAGAGAGGGAGAGGGAGGATCCCAAGCAGGCTCTGCACCTGTCAGTGTAGAGCCCGATAGGGGGCTGGAATGCACCGAGCTTTGAGATCATGACCCGAGCGGAAACCAAGAGTCGGACAGCTGCATCTCTACGCGGTCGCGCGTGTACTTGACCGGTCAGGCTTGCTCCCCACCCGCGGTGTGGTCTGTGCAGCATCTTCCTGTGCTTGCCAGATGAGAGGGCCACAGACTGATGGGAGGTTTTGATTCTCTCCGACTTGTTCTCTTTCCTCTTTCTTTGCCGTGCGCTTCCCCATAGGCTGCTAATTCTGCGAGTGTTTCTGGTGTTTGTTTTTTTAGCCAGAGGGAGAAGACCTTGGGGCAGGTGCTTGGGTGACACTGGTTCGGGCTTTCCCCCCATCCCGGCTAAGCAGCCCTGGGGGTTTTATTTTCTCGGTGTCGCACCAGTCATGTCTAAATCCGGGTTTTGCTTTCTCCCGTTGCTGTTGATCTAATGTGATTTAAAAACACTTTTGAGATTAGGACATGTGCATCCGATTTCCGGGCAAGATAGACTAATGGATTAGGATGGGGGGTGTTAAAAGCTGGGGAGAAGCAAGCCTCCCTTGGTGGATTGACACGGGCCAGTGATTAACCGGTGGGGGGGGGGTAGACTCAACCCTCCGCTCCCCACCCCCCCAAACCAAGAACGGAAACAGGCAGAGCCACAATGCACCTTTCAGAATGGGCTGATCCAAGCTGTGTCTGGGCACAGACCTCATACTCCTCTAAGGGGCGGGACCTGGTGGCGGGCCGACCCGGCGGAACTCCTCACGGTGACAGGGCTGCCCTGAGGTGCTGCCTCCCTTGTGGTTTACAGGCTGTACAGGGACCGTGTGGCTACTTTGCTTTGGAAGCCACTCAGCTCCAGGGCGATGGGAAGCGACCCTCCCTGGTTTCAAGCTGTCTTCGCTGCCAACAGTTAATACGCTCGGCCCCCTGGCCGGGGAAGATCACTCCGGAAAACGGTTCCCACGGCCCGGCTCCTGCTTCCCAGAGGAAGGTGGTCACAGCAGCACTGGGTGCACGTGGAATCTGGAGAGAGAACGAGGGAGGAAGCCAGAAAGGCTCCGGCATTTATGGAATGCCTGTGACTTACAGCGGCTGGCGCTTCGTAGATGTCCTATCACATCTGAGCGCAGCGGTGAGGGCTGTGAACTTACAGGTGGCTCCTGGACCAATCCCTTGCCCAGGATTGCTCAGCTGGTCCGTGGCTGAGCTGCCCACATCTGTCCAATCTCACGGTGCTACTTTCTTCCCGCCCCATGTATAAAACTACCTTCTTACATTTAACAAACGTGATGATATTTAGCACGTACCTGGTACTGTTTTAAGGACAGGGGGTAAAGCGGCGAGTAAGCACTCGGTGCTCCTGAAACTGACATTTTTTTGGTGGTGGGGAGGGGAGACAGCAAACAGTCTTCCTTTTCACATTTCTTTTTTTTTTTTTTTTAATTTTTTTTCAACGTTTATTTATTTTTGGGACAGAGAGAGACAGAGCATGAACGGGGGAGGGGCAGAGAGAGAGAGGGAGACACAGAATCGGAAACAGGCTCCAGGCTCCGAGCCATCAGCCCAGAGCCCGACGCGGGGCTCGAACTCACGGACCGCGAGATCGCGACCTGGCTGAAGTCGGACGCTTAACCGACTGCGCCACCCAGGCGCCCCCCTTTTCACATTTCTAATGCGGCTACTAGAAAATTCAAAATGACACTCGTGACTCAGGTTATATTTCCACCGGGCAGGGCGCCTAGTAGAGCAGTGCCTTTTAAACTTCAAGTGGGTATGGATCACCTGGGATGCTGTTAACATACGCGATTCTGATTCAGCGGGTCTAAGGAGGGGCCTGAGAGCCTGCATTTCTAACTTCTGATCTCTGGACCTCACTTTGAATAGTAGAGGTCTAGAGGGAAATTGGTGTGTGTGCGTGTATGCACGCCTGTGTTACGTTAGATCAGATGGCTGGGCAAAACTTCTCTGTGAGGGTGATGCAAACGAAGTGAAAGAGTTAAGATCCTGTCACGTAAAGATCTGGGTAAAGAGGTTTCCAATGGGGGCGGGGGGGAGAGCAGGTGCAAAGGCCCTGAGGTGGAATCAAGCCTTGTGGCTTTATACAGTGTTCTTTCATTATTCCCAAAGCACAGCGTTTGTAGATGGACAAAACTGGGTTCAAAATGTGGTTTCACAACCTACTGGTTGGATAATTTTTGGAGAGATGGCTGATTTGACATCACTCAGTTTCAGTTTGTTTATCTGGGAATAATTCCTTCCTTGCAGGGTTGTTGGGAGGAATAAATGAAGTAATAAAGGTGAGTGTATTTTCTGAAAAAATGAGTATCCTAGAGCAGAAATCCAAATGGACCCAACTACGGTGTTTT